AGCTACCACAGTATTTTTCGAAAAATTTAAACACAAACACTTCGGAGATATATATGTTATTTGCCGGCTGGGAGGTCACAGAGTAGAGGTGATACAAATTAAAGAGAGATGCTTCACTGGAACATTTTCACTTGCGTAATGATATGATATGATTTAAAAGGCTTCCAAACAAAGTTTGAAACATTATTTTTACAAGTATCTGTCACAATCTGACACCTGTCAATTAGAGAGCGCGTAAGAAAAAAAAGCGCAAGAAGATTTGAAAAACAACGGAACTAGTTTGGCAAGGTCTGTCACGACGATGTTTTCTTAAAAAACAGTCAATGATCTAACGGAAAGTATTATTCACTCTTATCGACGATTCATTCACGTACGAAGATTTACCTCTGTTCAATAAGTAAACGGCCAGGAAAGTAATTGTGAGTAAATTCAAATTTTTTATTTTGAGGTTGTGAGAGTTTGCTCGTTTGTTTGCTGCAACGGCGTGTGTAAATCTCCTTTCCTCCACAAAAACTAAATTCGAACGGCACACTCCAACGAGACACAAGGGGATTTAATGCGGCTTTTTCTCAATAAGTTCCTTCAGTTTCTGTTGTGCAATTTATGTTCCAAATGTCCAAACTGAACGGACTTGGAAAGACTCACTGAGAGCGTATATTTATTGTCGAACTGAAATTAAAACTTCGCTCGCTCTTTCACTACGAACAAATTGCTTGAGAAAATTCAAAAGGAATTAAAGGAATGAAAGTTCCATTGTTCAGTTTACCTGTAACCAAATACCTCACATTTTAACTTTCTAGGTACTTTTTGTGAATGATTAAAATCAATTGCAGACGGTTTTTAGGCCGCTTGTCAACCAACGTAATGAAACCAACACTTTTTTGTCAACCAAAGTGATTTGAGAGAGAGAAAAGAAAGGATTCATAAGTCGGCTTAAGGTAGTGACCGATGTGTTTGCTTAAAAATACTGCCCAGCCGGCAAAACGAGGTATATTTATGAAAAATGGCAACGAAATTTGGGATGTACTCGGCGACTCACGAAAGCGTTACCGTGGCCCGTGGGCAGAGATAGGAAAATACTGACCGGGTTGAGAACCACTCAGATTGCAGGATTCGTTACCGTGCCCTCTAAAAAAAAAAAAAAATCTTTATTTTCCGATGTTCAGTTGGCCAATTTAATATTTCTTTCTTTGTTAAGAAACATCGATCCATCAAGGAGTATCTTCAGTAGAAACGTAACTATTTAAGTCACAAGGAGTACATCCGAAATAGAGGCTGTAATACGAATACAAGGCGAGAGCTATCGCAGTCGACACTATCTTGAGTTTGGGTGTGTTTCTATGGTGACACTTAAATACCGATGTAGCTTATGTTGTAATCTTGTCGTTCTATTTTATACTCACGTGCTTTGCGCCTTCTGGAGGACAAAAGATGTTTTCGAAAGTCATTCTAATTGTAACGGCAGGGTCAGCGAATGTTGTGTTGAAAATCTCTCAGATTATTCTCATAAGTGATTCATCATTTCAATGTTATTTTAGATCGAATGGATTACAACTTTTGAAAGGGGTCGAGTTTCATTTCTTTCTGTTGGTTTTGTTGGAAGAGTAACTTTCAGAAAACATCTGAGGCGATAGAATATAAAAACTTTACTATTTTACATAAAAAAGTCTCGGGCATTGTAACATCTGCCAGTTTGAGTGAACGAATTCAGTCCCTATTTGACAACATAGCTTTATGAATAAATTAGTTTCACAAGAATATTACAAAACTTTATAAAGATAAAATCCATGAAGTTCGATATGTTTTTCATAGTTATAATTATTTCATTTTTTTAATTTCACACTGGTCATTCTAATCTTGCCATAATTATCCAAAGTTGTTCGATGAAATACTCCAGGTAACTCATCAATTGTTACAAAATTAAGGAAGAGTTCCGGAGATGGATATTTTATTAGTGATAAATCCTTTATCGCCTTGTACTAAAGTTTACACAGTTCGTTCCCAAAGAGGATACTTATCAGGAGTACTTAGTGATAATAGAACAGGTAGAGTATCGTCTGAAATTTTTAAACTAAAAAATTACTACCATTAACAAATTATATATTGGATTTCGTTCAGGAGAAATCATAACCTTATCGTTTCGCTTCTGTGTCGCAATTAAAACGACTTTCGCTTCTCAAGAAGCCGTTAAACAGGCCAATTACTGAATAAATCGTAATTTCCACATTGTAACAAGTTGAAAAAAGACCTATTTTCTACCAACTGACGTGCCAAGTTATTATCAGACAGGATTATTGAGTATTATCAATTCAGTTGATACCGTAAATTTGACACCGTAACGAGTATAAAAGCTGACGTTTTGAGCGTTAGCCCTTCGTCAAAACACTGTTATCAGACAGTTCAATAAGCCAATCACATTCAAAGTTGTAGTTTAAATCAATCAATTATATCAAACAGCTGAACAATTTTTACGCCTCCTTTGTCAGTCTTCTGATGCAAATTTCTCTTTCTACCATAACTTGGCTACTCACTCTTATGATTACAGACCGAATTGGACTCCGCTCAGTCCTTTCACCGTTTCCAAAATAATTATTATACGGTTGCATCGGGGTTCAAGTATCATCATTTCACACGCCAAAAATTGCGCTTAGTTTTTATCCCGATAGTTCTAATGACAATTTATTTCAACAGCGGAGGCTTGCTTTAGCAACAAAAGGATAGAAAACGAGAAAACATGACACTGATCTCGGTGAGCCGTTGGATTTTTTTCAAGACAGTGAGAACTGTTTAGTTACTAATTGTATTTGGCCTTAACGAACAAAAACCCTCCAGAAGTCACCTGTGGACAATCCAAAATATTCTGCACTTTTATCATTGGAGATGTCGTCACATTCCCACAAGCTCCCAATCAAATACCAGTAATATATTCCGCGTGAAGCAACGACACGAAATCTGTTTTTTCCCTTATAAGAGTATCCCCACTCTTTATTACGCCATTGATTACAATCAGCAGCTAACATCGAGTTGTCATCATTCATCCTCACAAACGAGCCACACGCTTTCGGATTGGCATCTGTCTGACCTCTGAAGTATTGTACTACTGCTTCACCACTGCTGTTAGAAGCCGTGGTCAAATGGAGAGTACGTCCCTTGTTTTTGCATTTTCTATCACCTCGTTTTGGACCTTTCGCCATGTAGTATCTGTCCTTGTTCGTGACAAAGTCCTCTGGTCTGGCCTCTTTAGTTCGGTTGTTTAACTCGCATATTGCAATGAACATAGCGACGTTGTAGCTTTGACATCTGACATCGGCAAGGCAAGCCTCTCTGCATTCCGGAGTACCCGGTGCAGTTTTGAACGTCTTGTAGGTGTGGCCCTTTAGCATCATTTGGTAAATTGAGTATAGGTCGCCGCTGGCTCCACACTGCTGACTGGCATTATCACGTAACCAGGGGTGGATCCAGGGTAGTTTACCTGATTTCCGGAACTCACTCAAATTTTTTCCGACCTAGTTAAATGTTGATAAAAGTACTTTTGGAAAACACTCTAATTTCCCTTTGGAAACTACTGATACTTTTGTGGAAATCACTAAACGTCTTCCAGAAATAAACCATCTTCCTGTTTTACAGTTATTTATTAAAGAAAATACGTTTAGAATGACTAATTTCGTTATAATTGCGGTCATGAGGCGTTCGGGAGCGCTCCGGATCACGCGCTGGCCTTTCGAGCTTCGATTACACCTCGGAAACCGTCGGAAGCCATCGGAAAATGTTCGTGGAGCCAATCTTTACGCAACCAGTGGGTGTAAGTCCTTGTTATTTGGTGACAATAACAGGCGGAACACAGTCAAAACCCCTCACGATTGGCTAGCAAAGATTTCGTCATCGGAACTCACTCAAAACACTCTTCTGATTGGCTAGTTGTGTTTGGAAACTACCTTGGAAACTACTGACAAAGTATAAAAAGGGCAGTTCCTCCCCCAGTGGGCCTCTTTCGTTGCTCCTACAATACAAGTACTTTTGAACTTGCTCAGGGGTTAACGACGGAATTTACTGTTAAACGTTTAAAAAATACTAGTGTTATGACTCGCGGAGATCCTGTTTGTCGGAGGGAGGATTGTTCTCCCTTCGACATTGGCCTAGTTTTCGACGAGATCCACAACTACTCGCCGCATCAGAAGCTGGAGTTCGTCGAAAACGTGGGGAAACCAGGTGAGCTTTTTGATTTCCCCGTGTCAATGGAAAATGGAAAATCTCGTAAGTTTGTCTCGGGCTGGCTGAAAAGATTTCCATGGCTAGCTTACTCCAAACATTTCGATGGAGCATTTTGTTTAGCTTGTGTTTGTTTTGGAGTTCAGTGTGGGCGAAACGCTAATAAGTTAGACAAATTATTGAAGTCTCCTCTCACAAATTGGACTTCGGCCGCTTCTCGCTTAACCAAACACTCGCTAGGAAATTGTGAAATTCACAATTTTTCTATGACTGCTATGAATGATTTCAAGAGAATGATGCAAAGAGGAGCTGTCCCAATTGACCAGCAGTTAAATAACATAGTTCAACAGCAAATCGCGAGAAATCGGGAGATTCTAAAGTCCCTTTTCAAAACTATTATTTTCTGTGGGAAAAACAACATCCCACTCAGGGGGCGGAGAGATGATGATCCCACTAATGCTGCCGTAACCAGTAATTTCCAGGCATTGCTAGAATTCCGGGTAGACAGTGGTGACCAAACACTGCAGCAACACCAGAAATGCCACATACATTTCAAAGACCATTCAGAATGAAATGATAGAAACTGTTGGTGCTCACATTTTGAATGATCTATCACAGGAAATAAGAAATAGTAAGTATTTTTCAGTTATGGCAGATGAAGCTGCTGACATTTCAAATAAGGAGAATGTTTCTGTAGTAATAAGATTTCTGGATACAACTAAAACCATCCGAGAAGAATTTATTGGGTATTACATTTGTGAGGAGGGATTAACAGGGGAGGCTATCAAGGACATTATAACTGCAGCTGTAGCAAACTTAGGATTGACAATGGAAGACTGTCGTGGGCAGTGTTATGATGGTGCAGGCAATATGGCTGGAAGACTAAATGGAGCCTCCTCATTGATCAGTGCAGAACACGAAAAGGCAATCTATGTCCACTGCATGAACCACAGGCTTAATTTGTGCATAGCAGACACTTGCCAATTGCCAATTGTCAGGAACATGATGGATATTGTGCGCAAGATTTCTAATTTTTTTAACAATTCTCCCAAGCGTCAACAACATTTAATAGCCAAGATCAGAGAACTATTGCCTCGGGCAAACCATACTGTTTTAATTGATGTGTGCCGCACACAATGGATTGAACGGATTGATGGAATGGACCGCATAGTTGAACTTCTCTACCCAGTCACAGCTACACTTGAAGACATCTCACTTAACAGAAACAGCCCTGGAGACTCAACCTGGAATCCAACAAGCAGACATGATGCTCAGTCCTTAATTAATGCAATCAACTTTTCCTTTATTGTTTCTCTTGTTATTGTCAGACATATTTTGGGATTAACTAGACCACTCACAGTGAAGCTGCAACAAAAAGCAATGGATCTTCTAAAAGCTAAAGATGAACTTGCTCTTTTGAAATCAGTCCTTGAAGACATGAGCACTGACATTGATAACAGACATCATAATCTCTACCAGGAAGCAGTGACCATTGCAAGACAAGTAGCAGTCCAGCCAGAAATGCCAAGGATAGCCCAGAGACAAATGCATAGAAATAATGCTCCTGCTGCAACTCCTGAGAGGGATATTTCAAGATCAATCTCACTAGAGTTTTTCTTGACCATGTACTCCAGCAGCTCAACACCAGATTCCAGGATGATGTATTTGTTTGCTATAAAGGTATTTCGATTATTCCCTCTGTTTTACTAGCTACTGACCCTGCCTGGAAGGCCAATGTTTTGGAATTTTGTAACCATTACAGACAGGACATACCAAATTATGCAGGATTACAGGCAGAGCTTTTGTTATGGGAGAGATTGTGGAAGGGGAGGGATAACAGAGGAGATATTATTCCTGACAGTTTGGAGGCTACACTGAAGGATATTGACAAAGATGCATATGTCAACATCTATTCCATGCTGAAAGTCCTGATCACAATTCCAATTTCATCTGCATCTTGTGAGAGATCCATATCATCCCTTCGGAATCTTAAGAACTATTTGAGAAATACAATGACCCAGGACAGACTGAATGGATTGGCACTGATGCATGCCCACAGAGACATGGATTTTGACCTTGAACGTATAATAGATTTATTTGCTGAGTTACATCCTAGGAGAATGAGAATGGCAAACATTTTGTAATAATTTTTTGCACCAGCTGTTTCTAGAGTACTTGTGAGTTATGTTCTGTCTGGGTTATGGCCTTTAAGTCTCATAATCCTTAAACTGATGGAGAACAGTACAGAAGCTCAAACTGGTGCCTGTATAACTTTTTTCAACTCATTTCAAGGTTATTTTCTATTTTGTTTTACTTGTGATGATTTTCCATTGACATTGACATTGGGTTTTCATGTTAAGCTTAAATGGTTAACAAACATTTTCACTGAACTCAACCAGCTTCACAGCAATTCCCAAGGATGAAGAAAGGCTAGTATTATTTCAAATTATCATTTTACTTCAATTTGTATATCATTTTATGATAAACAAAACGGTAAAGAAATAAGTTATTAGTTTGACTCAGTGCTATTGTCTCAGGATATTAATTAAAGTTGGTTATACCTTCCTGTTTATTAATTACGATAGAGCTCTGACACCCCTGAGCGTGGTTAAAATCTCTAAAGAAACTGTGGTGCTGCGGCGGTGGAAGAGTATAACAGGGTAATTTGGTGTTATCAGCCCAATTGAAAACGTAAATTGGCCACCGTAAAAAGTTTAAAGACTGAATTTTCGAGCGTTAGCCCTTTGTCAATCGCTCTGACGAAGGGCTAACGGAATACTACTAGTTGTATAGAAATTATATTGTAAATTAATTTTGGGTCCTGAAATGATCAGGAAATAATCGTAAAGTGAAAAAAACCTGATTTAATCCCATGGCACTGGATTACTTCTATAATTGAATACTTTATTGCAGGACACTCGTTTGAGGGTTTTTTTTTTTTAAAAAGGAAGAAGGGGAACACGACTTCTGGTTAAATGCAGCATTTAATAAACTTGACTACTTTCCTATTACAGCATCATACTTTGAATCCACGAAGCCTGCTGCGGCTAGCGAAAAAAGACTTTCGAAGGTCGACAAAGTAATGTAGAAATTCAGTTAATGGCTTACAAAAGTCTCCCTGCAGGCTCGTCAGTACCTGCCATGCGTACTACTAAGGCACAGCAATATTAGGAGCGAATTGAGTACTGCCAACCCGCTTTTTAAAGTCAATGGATTTTCAATGGCCGGAGTAATAGCCTTTACGGCTAATGGTTAACATTTTAGCTGATTTACAGCTAACGGTTGACTTCTTTTCGTTACGGTTAAGAGAAAGAAATTACATTTCACATATTTTATTATTAAATTTTACGCCTAACAGCTAAAAGTTTTCAACGTTAAGCTAGCCAAAGGTTAATCTCAATAAGACCCCCTCAAAGTTATTTTTGTTCTTTTCCTGTGATTTTATTGAGTCAAAAAATATTTCAAGTGAAAATATTGTTAAAAAGTGCTGTTTATGACTATAATGTACTTTTGTTTCGGTGAAAGAAAAAAGCTTAACACAATTATCAGCCAGATAACTTCAATTTTAAATCCTTTTGGTGACAAGCAAGTTATTATGAAGATAACTCGATTATTTTTACGAGTCCGTTATCATTGGGGTTACCGCCATTCACACCCGAACAACTCTGACCACGGCAATACGAACCCCCGCCCCCTCCAGCCTGTTTATGGTGGGTACCGCTGCCTCCCCCAGAGTACCCTCCACCTCCACCCGATGCACCATTATCCTCTGATCCTCCTCCCCCGCCACCAAACCCTCCCACTGCTCCTGGTGCTGGTCCGCCGTTATTTCCGCTGTTCATCCCACCGGCTTGACCACCAGTCCAGCCTTGATCACGTGATCCACCTCTTTCTCCGTGTTGAGAACCAGCTCGGGTACATCCAGTGCTATGCCAACCAGCACCTACACCCCCATGGAAGCTAGCACCTGCATTGTTACATTCACCTGGCTGCCCCCCTGTGCCTCCCATCCTAATCCGTGATGGTTCTTGCCCCATACTGCTGGTTCCACTTGTTCCCACCTGACCATCCACACCGTTAAAACCACTGGAAGCACCACCACCTCCTCCGGCAGCTAATAACAAGATATTACCTGTGGTATAGACAAAACTACCACCCCCTCCTCCAGTTCCAGCATTATCCTCTACAGACAGTCCCAGCTGAGCTGCTGTTGAGGAAGTGGATCCACCACCCTTCACCTCCACTGAATTTCCACCACGCTGTCCAACCACAATATTCAGCACTGTTCCTTTATTCAATCTGAACTTTCCTTCTATGAATGCTCCCTTACCACCGTAATATGTTCCAGGTCTATATCCATAATTGTATGAATGTGTTCCACCACGAGCTCCCCAGGCCTTTATTTGGTAGAGAGTCGTACGTGGAACAGTGAAGGTCTGAATAACGCCATACCTTCCACTTCGTCCACTTGTTGTAAACTTCCAAGTAACTATAATGAAAACATGCACGTGTCATTTGCAATTCTTAATATCCTTCACTGGATGAAATAATGGATTTGACCACATTCGGCTCTAGGTCAAATATGAGAGTGCTGATTTAATAACACATTACTTTGCAACATTGTTAAGCAACCTAAGTATTTACCTGACATGACAGTGTAGATAATAGAAAGAGGATCATATTTTGTTTCATACAATTCCTTGAAACAAGCGCGAAAGCCAGTCTTGTTGATATACTGTTGAAAAGAAAAACATTGTACATAAGTAATATATTCTTTTTTACTGAACGAAAAGGCCAGACGGAAAAATAGCTAGCACCAGATGGTGCCGTGCGCTTCTTATCATAAATTGCATTATTTGCCACGACATTTAACTTCTTGATTGCACGTTAACAATAAGCTTGAAGTGGTATGATAAAACAGTAAATATAAAGAGTACGATAAATGAGCGCGTATACATAGAATTTTTCCTCGAAAGTTTAACTAGATAGCTCACGAGTGAGATATCGAGAAGCAACCATATACTATTTTGTTTATCATATAAACACAATAGCCCTGTACTGACAAGAAAAGTCGACTTAATTAATGAATGAAAATAATAGGATCGACTCTCCCAATAAAAATCGTAAAGTGCATTGGCGCACTCAAGATGAAAAAAATCTGTTGAGTCACTACAAAAACAAACTGTGGGCCTAATTTTTAATATACGAAATTCTCAATTATTGACTTGGTCCTTACCGACAGAAGAATTCCTTCAGATACACG